AATAAATGAAATAACTGTAAAAGTAATAAAAGTAATGAATGAAAAAACTTTTTTCAGGTCAGGTGTATTGTCATCATGATGACCACTGGTATTATGTAATCTAGTGCAACCTGCTCTGTGTCCTGTTGCCTTGTGCAAATCTATTTCTAAGCAATAGCTAGTAGGAGTGTACTTCCTTTCATCAATACTATCTAATATCTGCCGTGCCTAAAGCAATTGTGTGTGTATGTGTGTCTTGTATATAGTTAGAGATGTTTCAGTTTCCATTTCAGCTCACCTGTAATTTTACTATATATATATATATACGTTAGAAGTTTAGAGACAACACAAATGTGTTCTAACTAAACCTCTGATGTGGTATTTACTCACTTATAAGTTGCTATCTGTATGTTTGTGTTCTGTCTGAACCTCTGGTATGGTGTTCATACATCCATAAGTTACTTTATGTAGGTTTGTGTTCAGCTTAAAGCTTTTAAGCAGTGTGAGCTTAGTAACCAACTAGTGACTCCAACTATAAAACCTGCGCTCACCTTAGTCTCTAGTATTTTGTTAGATGTAATGTTTTTCCAAATACATTTCCAAAATATTATATCCCATCAATGCTATAAAGTACTACTTACAGGAAGTAACTCCTTTTAACTACTCCACATCAGGTCTGATTTAGGACCACCCTGCTACTGGTATCTGCCTTGAAGGGTTTTCTTTTATAGGCGAAGGTTAGGAGATCCATGGGAGGGATAATTTCCAAAACCAGACTAGTGTCATCTGCATGAAGAATAAGTTTATGGATGATATTCCCATATTTCTTGCATTTTTTACATCACTCCCAGCAGAAGCAATTTCCCAAGAGAAAATTTTAGAAATCCAACTCCCCCATCTATTCCAAGCTTGACAATGTGATCAGAAAATATTTTTTTTCTAAAAGGATGTGCTCCAGCAGTTCAGAAAAATCTTTACAGTGAATAATTGTTGCCATTTCGACTTTTGACCCTTTCTTTTGCATGACTTCTAGCTTTGAATATGTGAAAAAACTTGCAAGATTGGTTCCTATTTTAAGAAACTTAGAGTCAATGTATGGTTCAGTGACTTTAACCTGTGATATTTGATTAAGAGTTGATGCTAGCTTTCTTATGCCATTGTTGGACATTCCTGTATTGATCTGAATTTGGGCAAGATCTTGTGCTGTCACTCTTGTAGGGGTCTCAAACAACCGCCAAGAGCTTGAAGAACCTGTCAGATTATAAATTTATAATTAAATACATCGTGTTTAGGTTTTAAAAATAAATTTATGAGCATAGCAAAAATCTACGTGGTGTCAATGCCAAAGGTTGTCCACCTTGAGCTTGATTTAGGCGAATTGTTCCATGTGGTGATGCCTCTTTTTGACTGATAACAGTAGCAGCTATTTGGTCAGAAACTTTGCTATCTTTAGCTGCAAGCAATCTCATGTTTTCTCGAAATGTGTAATCATTGCAAGGATGGGACATACCTTTGCCAAGAACTGCAAGACATTTGGAGCATCTATGGTCACCCTTCTTGTTTTCAGTCTTCTGCCAATTTTCTAAAGGATGCCTTTGATTGAGCTTGAGTTGACCAATTTGACAGATGAGGAATTGACAAGCTTGCTCTCTTGTGGAAATCTTGGGATAAATTTCTTGAAAATTGAATGGCAGTGGTATGCTTACTTCTTTGCCTTTATCTTTTCTCCTCATTGCTGAACGGCATCCTTCACAAATTCTTTTTGGAACTCTTGAGTCTTGAAAATCAAATCTCTTTGGAGAACTGTCTTCACTTTTCACCTCTCGTTTTGCCTTGTGCATGCAAAGAAAACATATACTTTTACAGTTTTCTTTATGTGATTTTGCAAAAGTGGGCATTTTTATTGTGGCAGTTGAAAATTATGCTAATCATGAATTTTTTGTAAACAAATAAATCGTGCATTTTCCCAAAAAATTTACTTAAAAAATGGGAATTTATAGTGAATGTAACTTGATCGTCACATACAAAAGGACACCAGTCAGTAATACAATTATATATGCTGTAGAAAAAGCTGTCATTTACTATATTGCTGTTTATAGTAATACATTTAAATGTTGAATTATTTTCTTGGATATAATGTTTTGATTTCAAATTTTACATTTTTGTGATCACAGAGTCAAGGGCTTTCAAACCCCACATCTTGTTTCTCTGGGTCAGCTAAAAGAGATTATCTCGAATTTTTGAGAGGAGTGGCTAATTAACGGGACTAAGACAACTGCATTGCTTATTGCTTAGAATACTGTGCTCTATCTATGAAAGACAAGTTCTAAGTAAACCAAAATATCAAACATAAAAACAATCCCTACCGCCTTATTATTTCAATAACAAACATTCATGATCAGTAAAGTAACTTTCCATCAGTTGAATCTTACATTTTGCAAAATTCACCAGACTTGCTTGCTCTTTGTGAGACTTGCTTGCTCTTTGTGAGACTTCTTTCTCTTTGTGAGACTAATTTAAATTTGGCTGTTTCTTCTTCAGATCTCAGGACTGATAGGAACTATTCTTTGATTCGCAAAGAGTCTTATTTTCACAGGTTTGGATCCCTTGATCACTCTTTTATGTACTTCTGCTTAGCAACTCTTCACTCTATCACCTTTCTCTTTGTTCTTTATAGTTCTTCTACATCTCAAGACTGCACTTGTTTAAAAACAAGCAGTTACTTTTGAACCTTATGGCCACTCTCTTCCTTTCATTCCAGTTTAACAGGTTAACCCATTGTTGGACATACAAATTACTCCAACTTTTGTTGCTATCTCTCATATCATTAATCAATTAAACTCTTCTACCACTTGTAGTCTAGACAACATTCCTGTCATGGTCTTATAAAAGTGTTCTTCAGAACTCTGTTCAATTCTTTCTATATTTAATAAACTATTTAAATAAACTATTTATTGTCAGGTCAGGTTTTCTTGCTACTGGTAACATGTAACCCAGTACAACCTGCGTCATGTCCTGCTGCCTTGTAGGATACGCTATTTTAGGCAAATTTTACGCTATTTTACGCTATTTTAGGCTAAATTTTACGCTATTTTAGGCGAATTAAAACACCCCCTGCCTTGGGGCTCTTGGTTGAGTAAAGGCTAGAGATGGTGTCTCAATAAAAATAC